TTTAAAGCACAGTGGCGGCTCATCCAAGCACTCGCCAAGCCCAACGCAGCTTAGCTTCCGAGATCTGACGGTATCCGGCGCGTAACGGGTGATTTGGTCATTACGTATTCCCTGCATTGTGCGTGTTGTACACTGTAGGTGTAAAACAACACGACCAGCAGACAGCAGGTATCCAGCATGCGCCCGGTATACACCAGGAGGCTTGCGGTGTGCTGCTGCTGCTGCTAATCATGTGCATCGGAGGAACGAGGGTAAAGGTGACGGAATACGGCCGAGCGTTCATTAGGCGCTTTGTCAAGACGGCTCGGCTCGGCTGCCGGCAAAAAGGCCCTGAGAATGGGATTAAGATCAATTCTTAAGCTCAAGAGAATCGCAGTTTGTCAGATTCACCCGTTGTGGTCCGATTCGTACATGCTGTATGTCATGAGTTGACTTTCCCCCCCCACCCCACCCCCGCTTGACATATCCTCGAGATTTCAACATTCACCGCAACGTGAACAAACAAAAACGTGTGTTCATTAATCGAATCGCGACGCTGATTGGCGGCAGCAGACGGCGTGAATCATTGTTCACGCCCCTAATTCACGCACACCTGCCCGACCCTGCTGATGAGACACTGTACATGTCGACGCCGATCCAGAGTTTTGCTTGTACTGAAATCAATGCTGATGATTGCATGAACTCCCAGAAGAAACACTCGTGTGTGTAACGTGGAGAGACGGATGAGCGAAGGAGACGTCGTCTCCGCTTTGTCTGCACTGCTATTTACGCCTTGAGCAGTGGCCGAGTGACTGGAGCTGTCCACTCGTGTCTGGTGCTGAAACCGACCTCGCTCAGACACGCCGTGGTGGGCGTGCGATTGTGCCCTTGCGACTCAAGCTATGGACCCCGATTGTAGACCACTGAAGTCCGCGCCTCGTTCGGCCGAGGAGGAATAGCAAAAGTACATTAACTCTCCCCTGGAGCGCTCTCGTCGTAGTGCGCAGACCTCGACATTCGGCGTTTAGCTCCTGAACCTATTGCTACGCGCTAGAATAGATTCCACCGCGGCGCTGCACGCGCGTGTGAGGCTAACGGGCAAAGTCGGGGCAAGGCCTGGCCAAGGTAAGGCAACGCTCTCACTGGGCGAGTTTCCTCGGATGCACTGAACGCGATGGGTTCTCAGTGCATTGGGCTACGGAATTTCGTGCTGTATTGATTCATGTACAGTAATTGCACGCGTGCTTTGCTCATGTTATACATTACAGTGCACAGTACATGGAGAGTAGCGATGCATCAATTTAATATCGATTCTAACTCGCCATATATGCTGGCTCGATGCGTATGTGTAAGAAACGACGTTTGTCGGTTCATGCAAACAACAAGATAATATTATTCAGGCTACAGCATGGGAAGGGAGACAGTAGAAACAAGACGGAATAGCGTGGATTCTTGAACCTAATCACGGCCCAGGGATTGTGAGAATTCATAAAATCGCCAGGGGGAGGTGTTGGGAGGGAGTGATACGATCATTATACCCGTTTATATCATTAACGCGAAGCGTGTGTGCGCGTAGCGTGTTGCAGGGAGTGGTAGCGCATTGCGTTACGAACCCGGCCACCCGAGTTCGATTCCCGCCCACAGCCAACGTCGGTAACGGATATCTATCTGTACCAGTGCTGGGCCTCTCCGAGGTCCACTCAGCCTTAAAATTAGTACCTGATGCGGTGTATAAACATCAGCAGCCGTGGAGACAAAGACGACCGGGCGTGGTGTTGGAAACCTTCCACGTCGTGTGCCGTGTCGGCCTTCATATGTGCTCGACAACTGCACTTTGCCTCTACAGCCTGTTAAAGGGCTACACTGCCGGGGGACCTTTGTCTTTGTGAGTGTACACGCGAGTGCTTTCCTCGCGAACGTTTCGGCGGGCGTGACGTTGTTTTTGTCGATGTCTGTGTTGTTGATGTCTGTGTTGTTGTTGATGTCTGTGTTGTTGTTGTCTGTGTTGTTGTTGTTGTTTCGCAATATAAACGCGTTCTCGGCTGCCCCGCTGTCCATAACCACATCTGCGGGCGGGAGCTTCTGGAAATGGCGAGCGAAGTAAGAACATGTCGGTGGAGTTCTACGTGAGTGGAATGTTTGTGCGTCAGGGTGGCGCGGCATTTTTTTTTCTCTCTCGGTGTTCGCTACGTGACGTCACTGGCGTTATTTTTTTTGTTTCAGGCTGGGGCAATACACTGTACTGTACAGTATTGGCGTCCGGTGTGCCACGTTCATTCACGCGCTCCTTCGGGCTGCACCGCCTTGCCGCCCTTCCAAGGAGGAGGGACCAGCGATGGCGCGCGCGTTACCCGCGGCGCAGGGACTAGGGGACGAGGGGACGCGGGGACGAGAGGACGCGTTTCGTCTCGCGTTGCGTTGCGCCCCGCCAACAATCGGGGGGGGGGGGGGGGCGCGGCTCACGGACACAGCGACTACTTACTCCTGGCAACAACAACAACAACCAAATAAAAACGCCAAACATTGGATTGACAACACAAGTATCACGTGTTCTCTCGCGCCCCCCCCCCCCCTTCTTCCTTGGTCCCGGAGTGCCTTCGCTGGGTGCCAAATGAACCCTATCCGCTCTCGGCACACTCCCCATGCCCCCCCTCTTCGATTTGGGTCCCGGGATGTCCCTTCATTCCCTCTGTGCCCTTTACCTGACGTCTGTGTCATCGCTTCTCTGTGTCCCCCCCCCCACCCCTTCTCCGTTAGCCTTCCATGTGCCTCTCCGTTCTATCATCCTCTCCGTGTCCCTCCCTAATCTCTGTGTCCCTTACTGCCCGTGTCGCTCCCCTTCTCTCCGTGTCCGGGAATTCCTCCTCCATTCTCGCTGGGTGCGTGCCGTCCCCGCGCGCGGGTGCCGGGGCGTCACGGGACTTCATTCACATTTCCCCCGCAATGACCGTCACCGTGGTGACAGCGCAAATCGTCGCGCGACAGACAACTTGACAGCTTTAGCGCAGCGCGTGTGTCGCCGGCGCGTTCCGTTGTGCGTGTTCGTGGCCAACCGCGCTAACGACGCTTGCCGTACATCGTCACAAGCGAGTTGAGGTCGGGAGGCGATAACCCACGCAAACAGATGCGAGTGCTGCCCCCTCGTACGCTTGGTGGGGGGTTTCTCCGGGTTCTATGATTTTGTCCAGATATGAAGCCAAACATTCATCATTCACCCCCCGGAGCACGACCCCCCTGATAAGAACTCTTGACACTCGATGAGGATGTCATGGGTAAACATCCTCCCCACCTGGCGTGGATGGCTCACGTGAGTCATTCAGACGGTGATCTGTATTTATATAAAACCAGGGCGCTGCACATTCAGACAGGTCTGGCATTGCAATAAAAGCTGCAGGATGAATATTACCAGAAACGCAGACGTAAGAGAAAACGCGATTAGCATTCTGTGCAAAACAACCAGAGCAGAGTTTGGCGGTCTCTCTCTCGCTCTCTCTCTCTCTCTCCCGTCTATATGCATGGCTCTCCACTGTCAACACCGCGCCCTGCCTGGCTGTGGCCACGTTGTTGCAGTGTACTGTATGATAATGCAAATACTGCAATAATGAAAATATATATATATTTTTTCTTCAATCCAGGATGGCTTCATTGAGCCTCAAAACTTATTCAGATGACCGGGAGTGGCATTGGCTGTGTTTGGTCAATCCTGTTGCACGGGCTGGTTTTGTGTGCGGGATTAGACCGGAGATCCCGGAGAAAACTCAACCACTCACGCGAGGGGATACCATTCAGAGTTCCGCGCGGACGGGACAGAAAGGAAGAAGAGCCCATTTGTTGCAATGCTGCCATCCCCTGGCCACCTCGCAACCCATCGGGTGTGCGAATTTCACAAATCTCCACGTGATCTACCAACCCTTGCATGCAAAAAAAGCGCTGGCTCGCAGATCGTGCGCCCTGCGCGCCCACGATCTGCGCCTTCACGGCACCGAACGCGTCACGCGCATCGTGCACGATTGAATGCGCCGCACGTGCGCTACGGGCTACGAGCGGGTCTGTAAGGCGACCGCGCGTGTGCCTAACAACGCCACTCCAAGCCCTCGATGAGCAGACCTCGCGTACCCGTGTGTCGCTATGATCAAATCACTCTGAATCCGGCGAATCTTGTCCGATCTCTGAAGCTAAGCGGTTTTGAGCCTGTCTAATCCTCGGTGTAAACTTCAGTCTGCAACCAGTATCAACTCTATCTCTGTCCTCTCTATTTTTGTGCTATGAAGAAGGGCCATTGTCCGAAACGTCGCCTGATTATATATAGTTTCACTTTTGAAGCCGCAGTGTTATTGATAGCTGGTGGTGTTCTTACGTCGCCTTGGGCGGCCGGGTGGCCTCGACATGGAAGTACGCGAATGGATTGAATCGATCTGCGCGAAGCTTTGAGTGTTGGCACCTCGTGCGCGTGGCGACTCTTCTCCGGGTACTCTCCTGTTTCCTCCCACTTGCCAATGCAGGACCTTCATGCCGAAAGAAACCCGAGACTCGTGGAGGCTTTCCCGAACACTCAAAGGTCATCCCTGTTATATAACGCCACCTGTAACGGGGCCGTTGATGACAGGCCAGGCTGCTGCATCAGGTCTACAGTCTCGTGTCACCTCACCGTCACGCAGTCGTTTTCGTGTCACTCCTTCGTCGCTACTATCTCGGTCATTGTCCCCACGAACTCCACGCTCTCGTACCTCCAACCATGCCAAGGCCTCGTCCGAACACAACGACGGATCGCTGTCGTCCTCCGTGCTGTTACCACCTTCTTTCCTCCCACCTGATAGACTTTGGAACTTCCCCCATCAACCCCTTTTCCCGAGATGCCTAAAGCATCGCTGAGTTCAATGCATGTATACATTTGTTTAACGCAATATCATCATTGCGTATCTTCTCTCTGTTGCTGGCTTATTTGCCTTGCATCCCGTAGGTTGAACGGATGCCCAACAAAAACGAACGGACACGACACGCGACGCACCCCCCACACTTGCCTGAACTCGAGCGCGTGTTGCTCGTCCTTGGGCCCCTGCAGACAGGCGGAGAGAGACTGCACCCAGCGTGGGCTGTAGCTGCCGTCCTCGCACTCCAGGTAGGGAGGAGACCACACGAGGTGGGCCCTCTCGGCCGCGGCCGCGTGGCCCTTCCTCGAGCGAGCGGCGGCGGCGGCGCGTCCCTCGCGAAGGCCCTGGGCGAACCCGGCTTGGTTCCGCGGTCCTCTCGGCGGCTGCTGCTGCGATTTGAGGCCACCGGGACAAGCGGCCAGAGCCGCCTTGGCAGATTGGTCGGCGGGCAGCGAGGAGACGTTCCGCAGCACGATGCCCCCCCGCGCCGAGCCGCGGTTCACCTGCAGGAAGTCGCCGGCCCCGTCGAACGCCAGTAGGGCGCGCCGCACGCGCGGGTCGCTCTCGAGGAGGCTGCTGAGCAGCGCCGGGTACCATCGCGCGTGCTGCACGGTCGCGTCGTCGCGGCGCTCCCGCCCAGCCTGCTCGAGCACGGCGGTCAGGAGGTGCGCGTAGTGCGCGAGAGCTTCCGCGGCACCGTCAGGGGCCGGCGTGAGACCCCCCCCTGCCGCACCGCCGCCGCTGCCGCGAGTCGCAGCCCCGGGCACGCTTAGCTCGAAGCGCTTCGTGCAGCGCGCGTCGGCGAGATGGATCCGGTCTCCCGTGGAGAAGAAGAGCCAGATAGCCGCCAATGTCTGCGGGTCTAGGCCAGCGGATTCCTGCCCGGGAGATGATGATGAGGAGGAGGAGGAGTGGGGGCGGCCCGCACGCTCCCTGTCACGGAGTCTGGCTCCTCTTCCTCCGGGGCTCGACTCCTGCCCGAGCAGCAGCGGCTCAAAGACAACGACGCCTTCACCATGGCCGCGGGCAGCGCAGACGAACACGGTAGAACACGCGGACAGCAGCAGCAGCAGCGGCAGCAGTTGAAGATGACGATGAAGACGATTGTAATAACGATGATGATGATGGTGGTGACCCATCCCCGCGCCGCGTTGCCGAAGGCGGCCCGCAGAGAATTGGTAGAGACCGCGACGAGACGCATTCACATCGGCCTCGGCGGGCGCGGGGAAGGAGAGAGACTCGCAGACTCGAGCCGAGCGACGAGCACGCGCGCGTCAATGCACGCAAGCGCGTGCGCGTGCGTGCGAGCGTGCGGCGAGCGAGAGAGCGAACCCCAGCGGCTGTGGGAGCTCACGCCCGCCTCGCTCGACTCCACGCTGCTGGCGCTTACTGATGGTGCTGCTGATGATGTTGCTGCTGATGGTGCTGGTGCTTACTGATGGTGATGCTGCTGCTGATGTTGCTGCTGCTGATGATGCTGCTGCTGATGTTGCTGCTGCTGCTGATAATGAAGATGGATACCACAGCCGCTGGTCTTGCGCTGTCGCCGATGGTGTTGGTTCCGTTTTAGGCGTTGCTGATGCTGCTGATGACGATGCTGGCGCTGATGTTATAACTCCGGCTGCTGCTCACGTTAGTGCTGCTCTTGCTGTTGCTGCGACTACTGCTGCTGCTGACGTTCTTGCCGCTGCTCCTGCTGTCAATGCTACTGCCGCTGAAGCTGTTTGTGTTCTCGCTGCTGCTACTGCTGCTGCTGCCACTGATGATAGTATTGTTGGTGCTACTGCTGCTACTCGTGGTGCTGCTGCTACTGCTGCTGCTACTAGTAGTGGTGGTGCTGCTACTAGTGGTGGTTGTGCTACTGCTACTGGTGGTGGTTGTGCTGCTGATGCTATTAGTGGTGGTGATGCTGCTGCTTCTAGTGGTGGTGGTTGTGCTACTGCTACTGGTGGTGCTGCTACTGCTGCTGCTACTGGTGGTGGTGGTTGTGCTGCTGATGCTATTAGTGGTAGTGGTGGTGCTGCTGCTAGTGGTGGTGCTGTTGCTGCTACTGGTGGTGCTGCTGCTGCTACTGGTGGTGCTGCTGCTGATGCTACTAGTGGTGGTGGTGCTGCTGCTGATGCTACTAGTGGTGGTGGTGGTGGTGCTGATGCTACTAGTGGTGGTGGTGCTGCTGCTGATGCTACTAGTGGTGGTGGTGCTGCTGCTGGTGGTGCTGCTGTTGCTGCTACTAGTGGTGGTGGTGCTGCTGCTGATGCTACTAGTGGTGGTGGTGGTGCTGCTGCTGCTGGTGGTGCTGCTGTTGCTGCTACTAGTGGTGGTGGTGCTGCTGCTGCTGCTGCTGCTACTACTGGTGGTGGTGCTGCTGCTACTAGTGCTGCTGCTGCTACTGGTGGTGGTGCTGCTGCTGCTGCTACTAGTGGTGGTGGTGCTGCTGCTGCTGCTGCTGCTACTGGTGGTGCTGCTGCTGCTGCTACTAGTGGTGGTGGTGCTGATGCTACTAGTGGTGGTGCTGATGCTACTAGTGGTGGTGGTGCTGATGCTACTAGTGGTGGTGCTGATGCTACTAGTGGTGGTGCTGTTGCTACTAGTGGTGGTGGTGCTGATGCTACTAGTGGTGGTGCTGATGCTACTAGTGGTGGTGGTGCTGATGCTACTAGTGGTGGTGCTGATGCTACTAGTGGTGGTGGTGCTGATGCTACTAGTGGTGGTGCTGATGCTACTAGTGGTGGTGGTGCTGATGCTACTAGTGGTGGTGCTGATGCTACTAGTGGTGGTGGTGCTGATGCTACTAGTGGTGGTGCTGATGCTACTAGTGGTGGTGGTGCTGATGCTACTAGTGGTGGTGGTGCTGTTTCTACTAGTGGTGGTGCTGATGCTACTAGTGGTGGTGCTGATGCTACTAGTGGTGGTGGTGCTGATGCTACTTGTGGTGGTGCTGATGCTACTAGTGGTGGTGCTGATGCTACTAGTGGTGGTGCTGATGCTACTAGTGGTGGTGCTGCTGCTACTGCTGCTGCGCGCCACCGAATGAATCGCCCGCGCTCGTCGCTCCGACCCCCGCTGCGCGATAGGCGGCGATCACTGACAGCGGCAGCGGCGGCGCTCTGCTCCAGCCTCAGGACACATCGTCACCATCGCCACCACCACCATCGTCACCATCGTCACCATCGCCACCACCGTCGTCGTCTCTGTCGCCGCAACCACGGCTTCTCCGACCGCCATTTGAGCAAAACTGTCGCCGCCGGTGCGCCACGAGTCTCTCCTCGTTTCTCCGGTCCAGCCTCCCCTCGTCCCTGATCAGCCCTCCCCTCGTCCCTTATCGCGGCAGAGCAGACGGAGTCGCCAAGACATGCGGCATCCCGGCTCGGCGCATCCTCATCATCCTCCTCCTTGTCGTAGTCGTCGTCGTCATCGTTATCGCCAAGTAGAAAAATCAGGAATCCGAGAGTGGGTTTATTATTTTTTCTATCAATCTGTGTGAAATAGTGTCTGTCTAGCTCTGTGTGTGTGTGTTGTCCGTGTCTCCGTCTACGTTGCGGTGATCGTGAAATCCCTCGATGGTCGTTTCAAGCTGTCGATGTCTCTGCCAGGGGTAAGATGTCTCTGTGTGACGTGTCGCGTGCTTTGCGCATTCAGCGCTCGCAGCATCACGCGGGAGACGAATGAGCGGTATGGTGAGGCGCCGTCTCTCCCTCCCCCTCTCCCTCCCCCTCTCCCTCCCCCTCTCCCCCCCCCTCTCCCTCACACCCCCCCCCTCCAACACCTCTCTATTGCGTTCTCTCTCCCACTCTCCCTCTCTCTTTTTTTACGATCAGAGGAAACAAGAAGATGCTCGGTGTAGTCGGCACTTTGCTTCGTTCATCATTTCGTTTTTTTATGCTTTGCTTTATGTAACCCCCCCCCCCCCTTTAATGAAATATTTCACGAAAGATGTCACGTTCTGCTCTCCTTATGCCTTCCCTCTCTCTCTACCCCCCCTCTCTCCTGCTCACTCTCTCCTTCGAACGCTCTGCCTCCTCGCTCTGGACCTCATCTCCCGCGCTCTGCCACGCTCTGCCACGCTCTCGCATCTCTCTCATTCTACCACCGTGTCTCTTGAGCCACTCGCTCTCTCCAGCACTCTCCCCACCCACCCCTTTCCGACTTTATCTTCCACTCGATTGCTCTTTCACTCCCCTATCGCTCTCTTTCTCGCCCGCGCCCCCACCGCTGTCTCTCGCGCTATCTCTCTGTCTTCAACTCTCTCTGCCTTCAACTCTCTCGCCCTTTCTCTCTCTCGCTGTGTACAACACATCTCGCTGTATATCTCCCCCGCTTTCTCCCCCTTCCACCATCCCGCGCCCCGCGTGCGTCGTGAGCAGTGATACACGAATCCACAAAATCACCTTTCACTCATGAAGACACCGCGCGAACAGCCCGTGTAGCCAGACACGTCGTCCTCGTCGTCATCATCATCAGCAGCAGCAGCAACCATGGTCCATCCACTGCTGGATGAATGCCCCCCCCCCTCTCCTCCCAAGCTTCCACCACGTCACGTGGTCCTGCACGTGCCTTGATCTCATTGCGCCATCTTCGCGATGTCAAAGTCCTCTCGGGTGCGTTCCACGGTTGTTGTTGTTGTCTTTTCAACTGGAACCGACGGACAACGTTGGCTCAACGTTCAAGTAACGTTTGGTCCAACGGTCCCAACCACGTACCGACGTTGGCCCAACGTCGGCATGTTTACCGTGGTGATATAAAACAACAACAACAAGGGGGGCGAGTCGAGTGACCAGCCACGTGTCAGCATCAACTTCAACGCGTTGGTCAATAACACCGTTGCCGTTAAAGAAGAAAGGAAAAAGCTACATGAGACAACGTTTCGGGAAATGTCCCTTATTCGTGTGCTATGAAGAAGACTTGTTGACCGAAACGTCGCCTAATAAATATTTTATTTGCAGCCCGCAGTCTGTAAGACTGGTGTCCTGCAAGTTGCCTTGTTAATTGCTCTTGTACACCACTGCCAATGCAGCATGGTCATCATGAACATCATCAAATATTGAACGCGTGCACATCGACTCATAACGCTCAAGACATGTCAATCGAATCTCTAGAACATGTAAATCCACGTATGACGTGAACTCACCCTCCCCCATCATCATCAAACAGACAAATCAGTGCGGGTAGGAAAAACCATACGTCGTTTCAAACAGCACTCAGCCTCTGTTCTTGCATTATACAAACACCATCAGCAGTTCTTAGAGAACTGCGCTGTGGCATCCTCTTGCCTTTGGTCACCAGCAGCACCAGGGTGACGTAATCGCGCAGATGCGCGCCCTGACCTTACCATATTGCCCATGCCCCCCCAGCCAGTCAGCCAGCCAGACAGCAACACTTTGTGTTTTAACGCCGGTGTTTGAAGAGGGCTGGGGCTGCTGGTGGCTGACTTCGCAGCGGCTGTGGTGGTGCCTCAAGTTGAATCAGAGGTAGTGGGGGGAGTCGGAAGTTAAACCGAAGGGAGTGGGCAAACCACAACTTGTGATTGCCATTTGTTTTGCCGTTTTCCGGAGGTTCCTTTGGATGTCGGTGTGCGGTAGTGATACGGCCTCGACCTCTCTCTTAAATGTTGAGGCTCCTTTCCATAACTGGATCCAACGCCACAGCTCTATCAACGTGGGCTCCTTTGAGCTGCATCATCTCTGCAAGAGCTTCGAGGTTCAGGCTGCCGGTCTTGGCAGTCGCATCCTCCTCTTCGCTGTCCTCATCGTCGTTGGATTTGATCAGGCGCGTTGACGATTGCCCTTGAGCGCGCGTGGGTTCAGGGCACGGCACAGCAGCGTGGGCTACGCCGTGCGGTCCCCAGATGCGTCGGCGCAGAGGAGGAGATGACACTCGGTCTGTAGCTGCCTCAAAGCCGCCAGGAGCAGAGGAGGAGACGACACTCGGTCTGTAGCTGCGTCAAAGCCGCCAGGAGCAGAGGAGAAGGCGACACTCGTTCTGTAGCTGATTCAAAGCCGCCAGGAGCAGCCCTTTTTCCTGTTTCGACAGGAAGGTCCGCCGAGGCATCTTCTCCCAATACACGGCAGTCTCGTCCGCGGTAAGTAAAATAAACCCAAACCTGTTGCGGCCTCTATCCCTTCTGCTGTGCGAGCCTGCGCGACTCCTCGGGGCTGCCTCGCGGGCTGCCGCCGACGCTTGACGGGCTCACCGGCCTCACTCGGTGCCTGCTTCGCCTTCTCTTGAACGTCTCGAGCCACCCCCATGCTGCCTTGACATTCAGTGGACGGCACCGCCTCCAACGCCGTCGCTTCAAAAATGTTCGCGCAAACGCTTC